AATTATATTATCTGAAGTAGATTTTATAGGTAAATTATAATATTGGGGAAATTGGTTAGTAGATATCAAGAAATGGTTTGGAAGAAATGATTCATTATGATTCAAATAGACATGAGTTTCAGTTTTCATAGAGTTAATTGAAATTTTTGGTGTATGGAGATAATTGTTTTGTTAGAGATAAAAGTAGAAAGTTTTAAGTGTTTGTGGACTGTTAAGTTTTAGTAGATTGTGATATTGTAAAAATTTGTTATAGCATAAGTTTTCCTCAGTAGGTGTTGAAGTATTGGAGGCTGAGAATAGTTGGATGTCTTCTGTAAAAGCACTCGCCATATACCTGGTTTTCACAGTTACGGAGGATACCAAAGTCTACTCTGTATATTGAGTCTAACCATCATAATATTGGTCCTTCATGTAAATAGACTTTTCCTCCCGTCTACTTACTACATTCTTCTCTAAGGATAGCCCACAAAAAGTGGAGAACATAAATTTCTTAGCGACGGAGGTTGTATTAATATTTACAGAAGACTGAATTAAAAAGGAGATGTAGTTGTATTAATATTAGGTATTTTGGAGCTTTGAGGTGCAGATTCAATAGTTTTTTCTGATTGGTTATCATTAAGTTGAGGTTGGGATTGAGATGAAGTTAAAATTGGTTTTGTACAAGAGAGATAGAAAGTATTAATTTTTTGGGTTGTTTGAAATGAATTTTAAATTTATCATAAATAATTTGTTGAGCTTGTGAATAAAAAGTAGATTTGTATTTAAGACGAATTTGAGGAAAACTTATATTATTTTGATGTACTATACTAAAATATGTGAGAACACATGCAAGGAAATGGGTATCAATAAGATTTGTAGTAAGTTTTTTAATTGCTTCATATTCACTTAGCTCTGCTATACTATCATTTTTAGCAGCTGCATTAAGGAAAGCTTTAAAGAAGCAGTAGAAATAGTATATACAACGTTTTAAGTTTGGTTCGGCTTCATTAAGGTTTATATATTGTTTTTTAGTTTCATTAGTAAGTTTGTTAATGAGAGGAATAGGTGTTGGTATATTAAAAGATGCTTGATGTTCCTGGTTCTTATCAAAAATTGTAAAATTGAATGTGAGTTGAGTAAATATTAGTTTAATTTCACTATCAATTTCTATAGTAGAAGTAGTTAGAAATTGATCAAAAGTTTTCTTAAAGAAAACTTTAAAAATTGTTTTAAAGTCATAGATTTGGTTTTCAGAAATTATAGAGCAAGTATGTGAAGAAGTATAGTCACAGAGGTGGAGATAGTGGAATGTTGCCATTATTGTTTGTTTAGTTCTGCTTTGAATATTATGAATATTAGAAAATTCAAATGTAGTAGGAAGGAGTTTTTTAAGATAATTTGAAAATTAGAGATAAATTTGATGTTTAATATAGTTCATTGTTTTGGTTTTGTTGATAAGAATAAACTGTTGGCTATAAACTTCATAAAAAGTATTGAACTATTTTTCAAATGAATAGTTGCATTCTTTTAAAGAAGGTATTTTGTAAGTATGTTCAAAGAATGTTTTTGGAAAGTTAAGGTCAACATAAATATTAAATCTGTTATCATTTTTGATTATAACAAGAAGACTATCAGATTTGTCAATGAGAAAGTTGTAATAGAGTTGCATATGAATAGGTGTAATTTTGAGATTTTTTGTAAATAATTCATAGTTAATAGTTTGGTAAGAGTAGTTGAGATAGAGGTGGAGTCTGGTGAGATTAATTGCAATATTAATTCTATTAGGAATTGTGTATGGTGGAATGCTTTTGTGAGAAGAGAAAATATGTTTGTAGTTAAGTTGAGTAAATAGTACTTCAGTAAATGAGGCAAGAAGAGATGTAAAGGTTGAATAGAGAATATCAAATAGAATTTTAATTGAGCAGTCAATTTCAGGATTAGCTTTATATATAAAGTTGGTTAAAAAGTCTAGATATTTGCTAGCTAGAGTGCGAAGAAGATTTTTAAAAGTATATTTAGATTCTTTAGTTTCTTTTGGAGTTATTAGAGTTGGATTAGTTGTAGCTTGAGAATAGGATTTTGGTTTATTCTGACCAGGTTTGAAGTTGATTAAATGAGGTTTGATGAAGTCAAAGATTTTTGATGTTAATAGATTGTTGAGTTGTGTATATGGTTTCATTTCATCAGTAATTGGATATTCTGCAAACTAGTCAAGATCCTTAGAGGTATCATGTGTAGATTGAGGTTTTTTGTTTTTGTTAAATAAGATTTTAATTTGTTTAAGAAATTCATGTTTTGCTTTTTTGTTTTTGAGAGTAAATTTGATTAAACCATAAATGAGTTTTTGTTTAGGAGTAAGTATAAGAGGTTGAGTTTGTTTAAGTTTGATTTTCATTTGATTAAAACATTCTTGATACATGAGTCTTTCTTTGATAATTATTGTAGTTGATTTAAGAAGATGTTTTTGGTCTGCAAGAACTACACAAGTAATATTTTGTAAATGGCAAATTATGCATGTATGAGAGTGGTGAGAATGACCAGCAATTGTGACTATAGACAGATCAATAGTTTTAGCAGAAGTAAATATAGCAGATGGAAAGAGAAGAATAGGTGAGGCTTGAGTACTGAGTTTGATAAGAGATTGAGGTAAGAGGTCACTTTTGCGAAAGAGTTGTTTACTAAGGCTTGAGATTGGTTGTAGTGGAGTTGAAGGAGTAGGAGTTGAAGGTCTAGAAGTTTCAGAGTATCTGTATCTAAGTGAAGTGAAAGTAGTGTGGTATCTTTTGCAATAGTAAGTTGCTGTGCAGGGTTGTTGAAGAACTTTCATAAAATGATGAAGTTTGGCTGGGTCATATTCCTTAGAGTCAAAGCAAGCAGAGAGAATGTGTACTTTGTCAGGCTCTGCTTCAGCAAAACCTACCCCATAGCGGTCACTATAGTGAGCGAAGAAGTGGTCAATATTATAGGAGTCGGGAGTAGTATTGGTTGTAGTAGACATGGTTAAAAATAGGTAACAGTTCAGTTGCAGTTGGGTTACAGTTGGGTTACAGTTAGGTTATAGTTAGATCTAAGATTTGGGTTATAGTTAAGTTACAGTTAGGTTACAGTTAGGTTCAAGATTTAGGTTATAGTTAGGTTACAAGTAGGTCCAAAATTTAGGTTGCAAGTAGGTCCAAAATTTAGGTTACAAGAGGCAGCCAAGGATTTTTCCAAAGAGCCTGTAGATTTTCCAGAAGTTGTGAGTGAAATTTCTAGAATTGGATAGTTTAGAGGTTGTTTAAAAAGTTGTTTTTCCAGAGCAAGCCAGTAAAATTTCCGAAATTGTTTTTAAAAAATTTTAAATTGATCTATGGGAGAGAAAAAGCTTTTAAAAAAAGTTTTTTGAGATAATTTCCTGAGTTTTGGTCTGTTTTTAATAAAACTTTTACCAAAATGATTTATACAGAGAGCTAGATCTTTTGTTATTAATAAGCAAGGTAAGTTTACTTAGTAAAATTATGAGTAAATAAACAGAAATAGTAGAGAACTAGAATAATTAATATCTCTGACAATATTCAGCACAGAGATATAAAACTAGGCCGTTTAGAAGTAAAATTGTCTGTAGAACAACTTTGCTTAATGGCCCAAAGAGGTTTATTTAGTAGAATTTTAGTTATAACAAAATGTTTTTTTAGAAACTTGGTTTAAGTGATCTACAGAGAGAGGTACTAAATTGTGTCCCATAAAAAAAAAAAAAAAAAAAAAATTATTTTATATATAAAATAATATAAAGAACATTTTTACTTAATAGACAAAATATAGTTTGTATAGTAAAAAAAAAAGTTATAAAGTAAAAACTATATAATTTAAATATTTTTTATAAATTTGTAAATTGATAAGAAAAAATATTTAATTAAAATATAATAAATTTATTTTTAAACCTTAATATTATAGTATATATAATCCTAAAAGTATAGTTTAAAATGACAATTATTAGATTTAATATTATTAATAAACTTTTTAATTTATTTTAAAAAATGTAATGTATCAGAAGTGATGATACGGCCTATACTGTATTATGAAATTCATAAATAAAAAGTTCTAATATCCGTGAACTATACTATCTTTTATAAAATAAGTTGGTATATTATGAGCATTAAAATAAATAAATCGATTTTCATATTCCATAATTTCACAAATTGCAGATTTTTGACTTTCTTGCATACCACTATTCCTTATAGATTTTTGAAAAAAAAATAAAACATAATCGTAATTTTTCTTCTCAACTCCACAACAAGAAAATGCTGAAAGTCTAATATTTCAGTATATATCCATAAATTCATATACATGATATACAAGTACATGAATATATGGAGTTATATCTGATAGTCGATAAAGTCTATGAACAAATTCTGAAGAGTTTATATTGCCTTGAGATTTGGTTAAAAAAAGTTTTAATTATTGGTATGCTTTTTATTGAAATTAATTGCCAGATATATTTGATTTATATATATCATTATATAAATCATTGAAACTATTTCACAATTCTCTAATTTTAGCAGCTCTTTCAGAAGTAAATATAACATTTAAATCAAAATCTTTTAAAACTTTAAGTCTATCATTTCCTGATAGTGTTGTAAATATCTATGTTTTGGTACTCTGATCTTCTCAAAAATAAAATTAAACTTGAATACATCATATTTCAGAAATAATTACTTGGTGTATTTGATCATTAAAACAATATGTGCTATGAAGTTTATTTAAAATAAGAGTCTACAATGATCAAAAATTCGTAACATTAGATGAAGTTCATTAATAACCTAATTACAAATCAGGATCATTGAAAATAATGGAGAATATTTGTGTCCAGATATCGATTAGTAGTTTTTATTAATATCTTCCATAGTTTTGCTAATAACCTAATTGTTTTGTTGCTTATTATCTGTTTTTAAAATACTATTTTGAGATTTATTAATAGAGTATTAAAGACAAAAGTTTGCACTATTTGCAGACTTATGCTCTAAACAGATACTAAGAAACTTTCAATCTGCTGAAATATATAATTCAATTTTCCATTTATATCCATTTTGATCAATAAATCCTGTTTTGATCTCATGTAATTCTGCTATTAATGGAGCCAATGTGACTTGTAATATATATAACTTTTTATACTGGGGTAAATAAGTAGTACAAAATATGAATTAGATTTAAATATATTCATTTTATTTAAAATTGTAAATGTTATTATTACATGTTTGACTTTGTGCTCAATATTTTGACTATTACCAGAGATACAAATATGTAATGTTGATTTAGAATAATTAAGAATATCCTTATTAATCATAGATAGTATAATAAAATCTAAAATATTTTTAATTGAACACCTTACTCCTTTTCCAACTAAGCTTTCAACTTCATCAATAATTTCAGAGTCTGTAATATGTATTTCAAAGCTAAGATTTTTTTTATCTTTAGCTTGATGCAATTCAACTAGATAAATTAGAATATTTATGCTCATAATATTATTTATTTGATTTAATCTTTCAGAAAGAGCTCTTTCACATGGTAAATCTTGATATATAGATGCTAAAGCTCAATATGAAGATCTTGAAATTCTATTATTATCCATAGCTTGTATTAAAGCAGTAATTTGATTTCTTTCATCGTCATTTTTTGGTTGGTATATAATTTGAAATTTTGAGTCATTTACTGTAAAAACTAGCTTATCAATTTTAACAACATCTTTTGTATTGAAATGTTGTTTTATTTGATTCTCAATACCAGATAAAATGCTTATACCAAAGTTTTTATTTCGTATTTGTTGCATCCGATTTGTTATTTCAGAAAATGGTTTAACACTTTTTGACTTTTTTTTTCAATTTTCACGTACTAACTTGATTTGCTGTAATTGCAATCCAAATAAATAAACACCATTCGTCTTACTGTTCAGCAATGATTGCTGAAACTAATTATTAAATAAAAATTAGCAAAAATTTATTAATATAAATAAAAATTCATATTTTAAATATATTTTACATTTGGATTCTTAATTTTCTTTTCATTTGCGATTTTCTCATAATAGGCCTTTAGATAATTATTTGCTGTAGCCGTTGGTGAAAGATCTGAACATATATATTCATCGTCATGTAATCCAAATTTTATTTTATATTGAGGTTTTTTATTATAATAATTAATAAAGCAAGTAACCATTTTTTCGCTCTTGCCATAAGTTGTTTCTACCACATAATTATCGGGAATTGGATAATGATTTGACCCTCTAGTATAAGTGAGATAAGACTCAGGTGGATAAACACCTTCCTTTACAATGTAATATTGAAAACTTCTTCGTGGTGACTTCCATTTAATCGTGCAATCCACGGGATAATTTGAATTTTCTTCGCCAATTTCTTTCATTTTAAATAATAATTGTAAAAAGTAGCATTAAAATTATTTTAACTAAAAAATACTCGTACAGTATATATTTATTTTTATTATATCATAGTTTAAATCACAAACATATATAAATATATAATATCAATTAAATCGGCACAAATAAATTACGTATATCTGGAGTCAATTAAATTGACTCATTATTGGTGGTCAAACTTCTTAGATTTTGGGGTATTTCGCAAATGCGCCGCAATGTATATATGTATGAGCTAAGTAATTTAAAATAAAAATAACACCCTTGATACTAAAATTACCGATGCAATTTATACAAGCAACCATAAGAACAACACCAGCGATGGGAAGCAACTAAATAATGTGTGAAATAAGTAGAGGCTATAGATTATCTGCATTCTAATAGTTATTCAACGTACCACAACTCCCGCAATTCCAAATGTAATTACTATAATAATCATAATCGAAACAATACAGAAAACACGAAATATTGAGCATAATGGCATTTTACAACTCAAGATTAGAAGTAATCGCTAAAATCATAAAATGAATTTAATAATCATTTTTTGAGAGCATGTGAACGAACTTGATTCATTGGGGTACAAAATTTTATGATGTCACTAAAAATTATGATTAATTGCATTCGAAAAAAGGCTATCATTTAAAAAAAAAAAAAATGTGTGATTGAAGGGTTCGATTATAAAATTTGATTAAATGTAATAGGGTGTATTGATTTACGGGTTTTATCAGTGATAACTTATTGTCATTTAAAAATAAATGGCATCTAAATCATTTATTTTTTTATGATCATACTTGTTATTTATAGCTTATATAATTTTTATTAATAAGCCAGAGATCCATAATACCAAATTAGATATAATACAAATTATGATACTTTCTAATACGAAGTACAGGCAGAGTAAATTTCAGACTAGTCAACCAACACAGCATCCATATGATTATCTTTTCTAAATAACGCGACAAAAAGTCTACTTATTAATAATTTGCACAACTAATAATAACCAAAACTATATAAAAAATGTAATATTATTTAAAAATATGCCACTGCATTGTCTACATTCATTTTCAAAACAGACACTATATGGTCTTTTTTCTATTGTTATGGGCAAACCCGACTCTAGGACCATGAAGCTCCATCACGTAATGACCCACGAAATGCCCCACGAAAAGCCGTCGTACCACGGTGCCGTGACCAAGAGAAAATTTAACGACGATCCTCTGCAGCAAACAAGTTGGATCCAAGTTCCCTGATTAAGTAGAGAAAAGCCACTTGCCCGATTTGGGTTGACATCTGTCAAGGTAATATTACCTTGACAGGAAAAGTACGTAGCCGTGTAAATGCGTCGTCATATGTTGGTTTTGTTGCCGTCATTTGAGAAGTGAAACTCAATGACAATAAAAATAGAAAATGCTAATAGAACGAAGGCTGGGTCATAAAAAAGGGAAAGGGTACTAGTAAAAAGGGGAAAAACGGCTTATGTATATGAGAAAAATGTGTCAAAGCCATAGAAAGGTGTTCACAATTTCTCTTCTTTTCTTCCTGTAACTTTCTTATAAATACAGGGTGAATTTTCTCTTGTCAAAGAGTAAGAAATTGATGCTCTATTCAAATAAAAATAATAAAAATCTTTATTCCCAAAACTAAAGATAAAACATTCTTTAAGTTTTTCTTTTACCTTGTAATGATATTTGAAGGCTGCCTTGACAGTGCCAAATCGTAACCACCTCACCTGCTTTCAAGTAACATTATGCGACGTCAACAAATTCGAAGTGACAATTTGTCACCTTCCTTCCTGCTACAAATAGCCCCATATCACTATTTATGTCAAATACAGTAGTTATCAATTCTACTAATAAGATAGCTGTGTAGCATGCGATACCACACAGAACCAGTACAAAGCAAAGAATAAAATTCAAATTACAGTATTATACTAGGGAATTGACTTTACAAAAAAATCATTAATTGATGATTGATAAAAAAATTTTTTTTGATCGATTAAAAATCAATTATGTATAGTACCTGGAAGAAATTTCATAGGTTAAAAATTGAAAAAAAAAATATTCAATAAATAATTTTTTTTTTCTGAAATAATTTTTTTGTTTAATACATATGAACCAATAAATTTCGTCGTGTTCAAAACCTTAGCCGATTTTAAAGAAAATAATTTTGATTTCTTGAAAAAAAGTAAGTTAATTCGACATTTAACTAATTACCTTTCGTATATATACTGGTTTGACTTTACGTGAGATGTTTTGCATTTATTTTTGAGTTAGTAACGAATTTTACTTCAATAAAAATTTAATTACTTACTATTGTACAACAAAATTATTAATTTGTAGCTGATTAGATTTTTATATCAATATATTTATATAATATTTATTAATTTGCTTTAGCGTTGGTAAAAAAATAAATTCTTTTTATAAAAATTTCTATTTAAATGATCAAAGATTTTTATTTATTTAAATAACTAGCTTAATTATTGCCAGTAGTAAGTGTTTTGTTTCGTCCACTTCAAGTTTTTGGAAGAAACTTTGTTTTTTCAAAATCTTTAATGTCGTTCACCCATTCTTTTAAATAGGTATAAAGTTTGATTCGAAATTTTCGTAGCTAATTTTTTTTTGGTTTGGAAGTCAGATTGAACTTTCGAGACATTCAAGAGGCTAAGTATTAATGATCTTAAAATAGATTTGCTATTAAAATAAAAATACAATAAATAGTTGTCTTATACCGCTCGGTAATTTCTGATTCGGATTCACTCTCTCCAGTATTTGATTCCTCATATTCGTACTGTTACGGGCGGAATTGTCAGTCACCACCAAATGTTATGGACTATTCGGTAAATTGTAAGTCACCACCAAGTGTTAC